GGGAATCGCGTATCTGCATTTTAATTGCCAGCCCCAGCAGTTAGAGTGATATGCAGAGCAAATCCTGCACTCAATCACATGCGGGCAATGCAGCGCCTCTGTGGATTTGCTGGACGTCACTGGTTGGTCCAAAGTCCTGTGCTGGTTTTGGTGCTTTAGGAGCAGAGTCAGCATCTGACTGAGACCTAAACATCTGCAGGTACAGCAGAAGACTGACAACTGCCCTTCGTCCTCCAACAGTGCCTTCAGAAGACCCTGGTTCAGTCAGCACCTCTGCCCAGGCAGGGAATGAGGCTGTTCCTGAGAAGAAATGCTCAGAGGGAAACTGCTCTGGGCGGCCGATCAAGCCGGGGTTCCACTGCCTGCGCACACTGGCTTCAGGCGCTGTATTTGGAAGCACAACTTCGGAAATGGAAAAGAATAGGAATATTGACGTATCCTCCATTAGTGACACTTAGCTCTGGCAGGTGTCCTGCTGTGCATAGCAGCAGTTCAGAGCTAAATAATTTATTTTGGAAGCACATTTTGTACACAACTTCGGAAATGGAAAAGAATAGGAATATTACAACAGTGAACTGCGGGGTGGACAAACACAGTTTGCCCTATAGTTTCTAAGCATTGCACTTTGTCATCCATTGTTTCAATATTGCTTTCTCTCCCAGCATTATCTTCCAAAGAGAAGGCTGATCCAAAGTGTTTTCTTTTTTTTTTTTCAGGGTGGTTCATTGGTTTCCATTTTTAATAATAAAGGTGAATAACCAAAAGCAAAAAACCCACGACGATATATTCCCTAAGATTTCAAATGGAGAGAACACATATACGTGCCGCAGCACACTTCATCTGTGGACATCAAAGTGTCTCACAGAGGTCATAATCCCCATTTCAAAGATGAGGAAACAGAGGTGCTAAGAGGGAAAGTGGCTCAGCAGGTCAGTGGCAAAGCGGGGCAAGAGTCTCCCGAGCCTGTACTGCAGGCGGAGACGAGGGAGCAGAAAACAAACCCGTCCTCACCTAATCAGGACGGCCCAGGTCCCAAGTGCAATGAAGGCACAGCGACACTGCAGGGAGAGCAGCAAATCATGCCACAAGCCGTGGAGCCAGCGAAGCCTGGTTTCCTCCTGTTTTGTGTCTAAAGGGTAGTCCGGGGTTGTCTGATGTTGGCCTTTGATGGTGTAATCCTGGGGTGCCACTGTGGCCTTTCCCTCACTGGTGGAGTCTGGCTCCTCAGCTTTGTTGTCTGTTTTCCCCACGTTTTGGGGTACTTGTGAATTTTTGAGCCTTTCTGTCAGGTGTGATCACTGTGAGCCGGCGGAGTCACAAAGAAGACCGCCTTGCACGCACGCACACATGCATGCGCACACGCACATGTCTGTCTTGGCATCGCAATGTAAGGGGTACCTTATCCTATGGAACTATGCAATCGGTCAACACTTTAATATTGTAGATCGGCGGTTTTGAACTTTTTTTCTCTGTAACAGAGTTCTGAAAGTGGAAGAAGGGTGGTACAGCAAGGATGTTGACAATGTTGATTCAGTAGCCACTGTTGTTTGAGCTCACAGGAAAATGCTTCCCAAGGGGAGGCACAAAATTGGACTCCCAACTCGGTAGCTGTATCTCCTTTGAGCCCTGAGAGACTCGCTATGAAGTGAGACTCATTCAGGTGATGCCTTTGATGAATAACTTGCGTGAGAAGATTTTTTTATGCCTGCAGCTATGCCGCCTTGGGTTACGGTCCTGTCATATCTCGTTACCCAGAGAGGGGGAGGTTGAATGGGAATTTTGGTGTGAAATTCCGAAGTCGTGATTTTCAAGCTTTCTTGGTTTGTGAACTCTGAAAATACTTTGGGGGGCTGTTCAGCCTCCCGGATGGTAGATTGAAACCTACCGATAAGAGGTTGGTTTTCTTAGCTTTAATGGACCCATTAAAGGTAGGCCATGGGTGCCACAGGTCTGCTGGCCAGAAGTTGAAAACAATTGCTCTAAAGAACACCCCTGGTATTTCAGGAGTGCTTCTCATGGCTCCGGAGAGAGCATCTTTCCCTCTGAGGACTAGAAAACAGCTGTTCAATGAGCGTAGGGAGTTTCATGGCATGATGTGGCCATGAGTTAATTGAGGATCTTAAGAGTGTTTTTCACAGTGAGATTTGCCTCTGAAAAGCAGATGCCACGTGGGGGATTGTCCCACTCTACTCATATTGTAGGAAGCAGCAAAATCAGTGGGAGCCAGGACCCGAGGGAGGAGATGCGCCTGAGGACTGGAAGAAAGCAACCAGCTCAGGGGCTGATCAGCAAGCAGTGCCGTGGATGGCAACCTGGCTGAGCGGCCGGGCCCAGAGGCTGGTGAGCTGTGGGAGCAAGGCTCGTTGGAGACCAGGCCCCAGCGGTGAAGCCCAAGGCGAGGAGCAGTGGGAGCAGGTGGAGGGAGGTGGTCCTTCCCTCTGCTCTGTCCTGCTCGGGGCTGCCCAGTGCAAGACAGACATGGCCATACTGGAGAGAACCCCCAGCCCAGGGCCCTCCCAGTGCCCCCCCCAGTGTCCGTTGGGCTCGGAATGTTGGTCAGTTGGTAAAGCCCCTTTTCAGTAGGACGTATCCTCCATTAGTGACACTTAGCTCTGGCAGGTGTCCTGCTGTGCATAGCAGCAGTTCAGAGCTAAATAATTTATTTTGGAAGCACATTTTGTACACAACTTCGGAAATGGAAAAGAATAGGAATATTACAACAGTGAACTGCGGGGTGGACAAACACAGTTTGCCCTATAGTTTCTAAGCATTGCACTTTGTCATCCATTGTTTCAATATTGCTTTCTCTCCCAGCATTATCTTCCAAAGAGAAGGCTGATCCAAAGTGTTTTCTTTTTTTTTTTTCAGGGTGGTTCATTGGTTTCCATTTTTAATAATAAAGGTGAATAACCAAAAGCAAAAAACCCACGACGATATATTCCCTAAGATTTCAAATGGAGAGAACACATATACGTGCCGCAGCACACTTCATCTGTGGACATCAAAGTGTCTCACAGAGGTCATAATCCCCATTTCAAAGATGAGGAAACAGAGGTGCTAAGAGGGAAAGTGGCTCAGCAGGTCAGTGGCAAAGCGGGGCAAGAGTCTCCCGAGCCTGTACTGCAGGCGGAGACGAGGGAGCAGAAAACAAACCCGTCCTCACCTAATCAGGACGGCCCAGGTCCCAAGTGCAATGAAGGCACAGCGACACTGCAGGGAGAGCAGCAAATCATGCCACAAGCCGTGGAGCCAGCGAAGCCTGGTTTCCTCCTGTTTTGTGTCTAAAGGGTAGTCCGGGGTTGTCTGATGTTGGCCTTTGATGGTGTAATCCTGGGGTGCCACTGTGGCCTTTCCCTCACTGGTGGAGTCTGGCTCCTCAGCTTTGTTGTCTGTTTTCCCCACGTTTTGGGGTACTTGTGAATTTTTGAGCCTTTCTGTCAGGTGTGATCACTGTGAGCCGGCGGAGTCACAAAGAAGACCGCCTTGCACGCACGCACACATGCATGCGCACACGCACATGTCTGTCTTGGCATCGCAATGTAAGGGGTACCTTATCCTATGGAACTATGCAATCGGTCAACACTTTAATATTGTAGATCGGCGGTTTTGAACTTTTTTTCTCTGTAACAGAGTTCTGAAAGTGGAAGAAGGGTGGTACAGCAAGGATGTTGACAATGTTGATTCAGTAGCCACTGTTGTTTGAGCTCACAGGAAAATGCTTCCCAAGGGGAGGCACAAAATTGGACTCCCAACTCGGTAGCTGTATCTCCTTTGAGCCCTGAGAGACTCGCTATGAAGTGAGACTCATTCAGGTGATGCCTTTGATGAATAACTTGCGTGAGAAGATTTTTTTATGCCTGCAGCTATGCCGCCTTGGGTTACGGTCCTGTCATATCTCGTTACCCAGAGAGGGGGAGGTTGAATGGGAATTTTGGTGTGAAATTCCGAAGTCGTGATTTTCAAGCTTTCTTGGTTTGTGAACTCTGAAAATACTTTGGGGGGCTGTTCAGCCTCCCGGATGGTAGATTGAAACCTACCGATAAGAGGTTGGTTTTCTTAGCTTTAATGGACCCATTAAAGGTAGGCCATGGGTGCCACAGGTCTGCTGGCCAGAAGTTGAAAACAATTGCTCTAAAGAACACCCCTGGTATTTCAGGAGTGCTTCTCATGGCTCCGGAGAGAGCATCTTTCCCTCTGAGGACTAGAAAACAGCTGTTCAATGAGCGTAGGGAGTTTCATGGCATGATGTGGCCATGAGTTAATTGAGGATCTTAAGAGTGTTTTTCACAGTGAGATTTGCCTCTGAAAAGCAGATGCCACGTGGGGGATTGTCCCACTCTACTCATATTGTAGGAAGCAGCAAAATCAGTGGGAGCCAGGACCCGAGGGAGGAGATGCGCCTGAGGACTGGAAGAAAGCAACCAGCTCAGGGGCTGATCAGCAAGCAGTGCCGTGGATGGCAACCTGGCTGAGCGGCCGGGCCCAGAGGCTGGTGAGCTGTGGGAGCAAGGCTCGTTGGAGACCACGCCCCAGCGGTGAAGCCCGAGGAGAGGAGGAGGGAGAGGGGGGGGGGTGGTGTTGTCCTCCCCTCTGCTCTGTCCTGCTCGGGGCTGCCCAGTGCAAGACAGACATGGCCATACTGGAGAGAACCCCCAGCCCAGGGCCCTCCCAGTGCCCCCCCCAGTGTCCGTTGGGCTCGGAATGTTGGTCAGTTGGAGCCAACAGCCACCAGTGGCGGCAGGGCCGGGCTGGGCTGGCCCGGGGCAGCGCGGGGGGGAGGGCGGCAATACATACATATAATACATGCAATACCCGGGTAAATGAAACAGATAATTATCGCTCCAGTTGGTATCCCTTCAGCAGCTGCAAAGATTTGAATAATTTTTGGGAGACGTCCGCTTACCCTTCTCCTGCTTCTTATACAGTCATTAGCGGGTCCGTCCTGGCTCCCGACACCGGGATGCAGCGGTGACCTCAGATTTGCTCGATCCACCCCCAAGATCGGCTCTATCGGCCAGCAAATTTCTTTGGCCGCTCTATCGGCCAGGGTACCCTCCTCCCCCGCGGGGACGATGCTGCACGCCAGACGTCTCTGTGCGGTTTACCAGCAGCCCCGGCCAAGCGTACGACTTACTGGCCCTTCTTGTTAAACGTACCGTTTAATCCGCGGCCTCAGGAGGTGGTTGTCTGCTCCCGCGGTGAGCGGCTGGCAGCGGGGGCTCCTCCGAGGAAGGTGCTCGGGGCGCGCCTAGCAGCGTCCGCTCCGCAGTCGGTCCCGCAGTCGAGCAGAGACTCTCCTGCCTGGCTCGACAAACTGACGTGCGGAGACAGACTCCACAACCCGTAAGGTTGTAAAGTAGGTATGTTTATTCAGCGCTGGGCAGCACGGGGGGGAGCGGGTGGGGGGGTGTCATCCCGCCAAAGTCGTGCATGCCCACGTGGTGGCTTGTCCTGGATTTATACGACAAAGTATTACATATACATAAGGCTTCCCAATATGCCTATACATATGCATGACCTGTCCCCGCTTTGTATTAAAATCAGCCCCAAGAGGTCGTTTCCATAAACCCCTCCCAACTGCGCTTGCGCGGTGCCTCCTGGTGGTGGTCGCGGGGGGTCGTGGGGATGAAGGCTGATGACTCCTCTTCGTCACCGCTAGTAACCCCTTGTTCTTGTGCAGACTCGGTTGCTCCTTGGCTCTTGTCCAAACTGCAGGGTCGGTTTCAGCTGGTTTTTAAGACAAGTTTCTGTTCTTATCAGGAACTGTCCTTCGCTGAGAGATTACAAGACTCCTTACTTCAATCATTTTGTACAATAGTTAAACTTTTATAGTTACACTCTAAAGCCCCTTTTCAGTAGGACGTATCCTCCATTAGTGACACTTAGCTCTGGCAGGTGTCCTGCTGTGCATAGCAGCAGTTCAGAGCTAAATAATTTATTTTGGAAGCACATTTTGTACACAACTTCGGAAATGGAAAAGAATAGGAATATTACAACAGTGAACTGCGGGGTGGACAAACACAGTTTGCCCTATAGTTTCTAAGCATTGCACTTTGTCATCCATTGTTTCAATATTGCTTTCTCTCCCAGCATTATCTTCCAAAGAGAAGGCTGATCCAAAGTGTTTTCTTTTTTTTTTTTCAGGGTGGTTCATTGGTTTCCATTTTTAATAATAAAGGTGAATAACCAAAAGCAAAAAACCCACGACGATATATTCCCTAAGATTTCAAATGGAGAGAACACATATACGTGCCGCAGCACACTTCATCTGTGGACATCAAAGTGTCTCACAGAGGTCATAATCCCCATTTCAAAGATGAGGAAACAGAGGTGCTAAGAGGGAAAGTGGCTCAGCAGGTCAGTGGCAAAGCGGGGCAAGAGTCTCCCGAGCCTGTACTGCAGGCGGAGACGAGGGAGCAGAAAACAAACCCGTCCTCACCTAATCAGGACGGCCCAGGTCCCAAGTGCAATGAAGGCACAGCGACACTGCAGGGAGAGCAGCAAATCATGCCACAAGCCGTGGAGCCAGCGAAGCCTGGTTTCCTCCTGTTTTGTGTCTAAAGGGTAGTCCGGGGTTGTCTGATGTTGGCCTTTGATGGTGTAATCCTGGGGTGCCACTGTGGCCTTTCCCTCACTGGTGGAGTCTGGCTCCTCAGCTTTGTTGTCTGTTTTTCCCACGTTTTGGGGTACTTGTGAATTTTTGAGCCTTTCTGTCAGGTGTGATCACTGTGAGCCGGCGGAGTCACAAAGAAGACCGCCTTGCACGCACGCACACATGCATGCGCACACGCACATGTCTGTCTTGGCATCGCAATGTAAGGGGTACCTTATCCTATGGAACTATGCAATCGGTCAACACTTTAATATTGTAGATCGGCGGTTTTGAACTTTTTTTCTCTGTAACAGAGTTCTGAAAGTGGAAGAAGGGTGGTACAGCAAGGATGTTGACAATGTTGATTCAGTAGCCACTGTTGTTTGAGCTCACAGGAAAATGCTTCCCAAGGGGAGGCACAAAATTGGACTCCCAACTCGGTAGCTGTATCTCCTTTGAGCCCTGAGAGACTCGCTATGAAGTGAGACTCATTCAGGTGATGCCTTTGATGAATAACTTGCGTGAGAAGATTTTTTTATGCCTGCAGCTATGCCGCCTTGGGTTACGGTCCTGTCATATCTCGTTACCCAGAGAGGGGGAGGTTGAATGGGAATTTTGGTGTGAAATTCCGAAGTCGTGATTTTCAAGCTTTCTTGGTTTGTGAACTCTGAAAATACTTTGGGGGGCTGTTCAGCCTCCCGGATGGTAGATTGAAACCTACCGATAAGAGGTTGGTTTTCTTAGCTTTAATGGACCCATTAAAGGTAGGCCATGGGTGCCACAGGTCTGCTGGCCAGAAGTTGAAAACAATTGCTCTAAAGAACACCCCTGGTATTTCAGGAGTGCTTCTCATGGCTCCGGAGAGAGCATCTTTCCCTCTGAGGACTAGAAAACAGCTGTTCAATGAGCGTAGGGAGTTTCATGGCATGATGTGGCCATGAGTTAATTGAAGATCTTAAGAGTGTTTTTCACAGTGAGATTTGCCTCTGAAAAGTAGATGCCACTTGGGGGATTGTCCCACTCTACTCATATTGTAGGAAGCAGCAAAATCAGTGGGAGCCAGGACCCGAGGTCCTGGCTCTGTCTGTGGGAAAGCATACATGCTCCGGTTGTGCGTGTGTGAAAACATCTGGCTGGGCTCACCCCTCTCGCCTGTATGTGTGCCGGGTGCTGTTGGACATGCTGTCCTCAGGACATCAGCTCTTGACTCAGGGAACAGAGCCTGTCTACCTTTCTCGTAAGCTGTGCTACACAACTGGTAGTTACTATTCATGGTAACCGCTTTGAAATGGCTTGCAGTATAATCTTCTGATTAACAGTGCATCCCTGTCTGCTTTCTGCTTCTTCAGCCGATAGTTACCAAAGGTGGGTAGTAGGGGTAAGTTGTCTAGCTTTGATATTCACCCTCTTTGACTTCAACTCTTTTTTCTTGATGAAGTCCATGTTACCCATCAATTAAAAAGACACAGTGTTGTGTTCTTAGCCCACAGGAGGGTTGTGAGAGTTTTAATAATAAACTCTTCTAGATCATCAAGTGAAATGTGCTATATAAATGCAGATTACTGTTACTAGAATGCCTGCAGGTTCTTTTCCTTGTGTGTCTCTTCTGTGGTGTCTGCCAGCATACCCGAATACATTTGCTCCTCAGATTACTAATCTCAGATGTAATATATCAACAGAACAGATTTTTGTTCTTTATGTTTTAAATATTATAGTGCATTGTATCATGCAACCTATGATAATGCTGTTTAGCATCTCTGTTATTAGAGCATCTCTTCATACTTTTGTTGTTACAGGTACCAGAGGCATTGTTTATGGGCAGACCTCAAAGACCTAGTAGTACTTCAGTTTTCCTATCTGGAAAGGCTCATTTTCCAAGGAAAAACTCTGAGCCAGTAGTGTAGAAACTGGGTCTCCTACCTCTCACATGCTTTCTCTCCAAGTACTGAGAAGCTGTGCTTTCAAAAGCACTGAAGGCTATAAATTACAGGACCTCAACATGGAGTTTGCAAGTGAAAGTAAGTTTGCTAAACAGATTTTTTTCTCCCTCCACGTGCTGTGAGTGACACTTCCACTGGGTGCTGCAGCGGGTGGGATCCCCGCATGTCTGGTTACTCTTGGCGAGATGATATATGTGGAGGGAAAAGCCCTCACCCATTGGTAATGGCTCCTATTCTACTGGTTGGCTATTGAATGTTTTACCTCCCCAGGTGCTTCAGTAATATTCTTCTCTTAACACCGAGCCTTTTTGCTGGTTACCAGTATGTTCCTTGGACTAGCAAGACTTTACAGGCCGTTGTTCAAAAAGAGTTATTTGGAGAACATACGTGAATGATGGTGGAGAAGGGATATCTGAAGATCCCTCTTCTTCACACCTTACCAGGAGAATATCCTTATTATTGGGCTAGGTGGTCATGGTCCTCCATCTTTTCTGTTTCATGAACCCAACATTCCTCGCTGCCCAGTGGTCTGACGTCAGGATGAACCAAGAAATATTTCCCTCCCTCCAGCCAATGTGGGTGCTTTGAAAAGAGGTGCTGGCTTGATCCCTGCCTGCCTTGCCTTTGGTGAGTGTCCTAATCCCCTCAGTTGATGCATTGAACCTTGGCATGAAAATGTGAGAGGTAAAGCAAGGAACAATCCTCTTTTGTGCCCACATATCAGTGGGATTCAAAATCCACCTTAAGGAGGCAGGGGACCCATTTCCTTAGCTTTCCTTATTGGCCATTTTAGGTGTTAACTGCAATTACCCAGCAATTATGGCACCTCATATTGGAGGTGTAGGTGAGTAGCTGGGGTTTGGGTATTTCACTGCCAGAGCCAGGCACCTGGAAGGGAGGTGTGGGAGTTGCTGTCACCACACCTAGATCCTTTGTCAATCTGGGGCCAGAGCGCCAAAGGTGAGTAATTGTTATTGATGGAGGAGCTGCCTTGTTTGTCTACTGAATAAATAAAGCAGATTTTCCAGCTGTTCCCTTCTCCAAGTCTCTCCCAGCTCCTTCCAATTTCCCCAGATTACTCCCTTTCCCTAATGTCCCCATCTTTTCTCTGTGGCTTCCTCCTGCATTTTCAGCTCTGGCAGGCAACTCCCAGGGTGGTACGGTCTTCCCAACTGGAGGGCTTTCCAAGGGCAACATGAATGTCCTGAACGGTTGCCTGTACAACCCTCTTCCCAAAATCATCTGTGTGAAAAAGTTATGGTTTTTGCCTTGTGTTGCAATGATCATATTTAATTGTTAGTTAAATATCAAGGTCACCAGCAACTCCTATTCCTAAAGAAGCACTATGCCTTTTAAGCAAGCAGTGCTGGAGGGCAAGGGCATTTACTGACAAAGCCATCTGCAGAAGAGTTGATCTTTCCATTTGCTCTTCAAAGCCAAGGTTGCCATATTTTCCTGGAACCTGTGACCTGAATATCAAGTTAGTGTCCTGCTACGGTGGCTCGTCCTGAGGTGCCCACGTTTCCTGCCACTTGTTTCAGTAACTGCAATGATTTCAGCATCCTTACGAAAAACAATTCAGACAATCCATCATGTCTTTCCAAAAGCAGAAACACAGCACGATGGGACACCCCAAAACCCATTTTGGAAGTAGTACACTAGTTACTGGACAGACCCTGCAGACACTCTGGGTCAATATACAATACCGATGGTGCTGCACACAGCTTTTATTTCATCAGAGCAGCTCTATCACATTGATTTGTGCCAGAGAATAGCTGGGTAGCTTTTTTATGTGTAAATCCATTTCCTAACCTGACAGGCTTTACAGCACAAAAGTGTCAGCAAGATACTGGTGCTTGTTTCTTCCATGTGTTCTGACAGGGCTATGCATCTGATTCTCTTTGCCGAGGGTACAGGTCCTTTAGAAGTGCTTTTTGTGGAAGAACTTTACTTGGGGAAAGA